TAGAGCAAAGTACATATTCGGTTTCAACAGCTAATCTTTGGAGAAGCCCAAATTGGGGCTTCAGAACTCGACGTGTTTGGGTTAGCGGTCAAGCTGGATCGAGGACATCTAGTCCGTGCTTCCTTTTTAAGCCCCAATATGCTTGAAAAGACTCCGCAGGCCAACGACCTATAGATTGAAAAGATGCTGCCGAGTAGCACCATGAACGGATCCAGTGGCTTCGAGCTTCTGAAATGCTTCAACGTTGACCAGCCCTGCCAATCAGATGAGCTGCTGAGATTCAAGCGTCAGGAATTTCTGTCCCCCCTCAACAACCATTTCTACAGTCGCAACCTGGTACGCAAACGTTGGTACATGGCATTTGAAAGTGTGTTAAGCATTCGCAGGAAGACTGAAGGTCTTTCGGCTGAAGTTTCCAGTTCACCAGAGCTCCTGCACTCGGTGCTTGTTGAGCAGCATACCAGACCAATAAGCCACATTTCCTGCTTCTGCTCACGCTGTCATACACAGACCGTTGACGATGGACAATTGGCACCTCTGGTTGCCTGTCAGGAGCACAAGGACCTGCGTACTACATGATGACTCCATTGCTTGGCTGAGCTTCGAGCTGGTCGCATGGGGATCGGGGGCCTGAAGAACCACCAAACGACACCAAACCATTGCAATCACTGGAATCAGCATCCCCCAAGAAGCGCGGGGGTCGAAGTCCGGCACGTCATTTTATGAGTGAGTTGGTCTGCACATAGAGGACAATCCCAAGGGACTAATCTCATCTGCAGACGAAAGAGCGCTGTGTGTCCCAGCTGGGTCTTCTAGGGCAAGGAGGCGTGCTTGCATGTTCTATCACGTTCTCGCTCAGGCACTTGCAAAAAAAAGAATGCGCTTGCGGCACCTGACCTTGAAGCCCTACACAGCAATGGCACATGAGACCGCAAGAAGGCACTCAAGATGCAAGGCAAACCCTTGGCAACGTGGCCGAAAACACATGCAGGACTTAGGCATTCAAACATTGCTCTGAAAGCTGTTGAGAAGCCGATGAGCAATTCAAACGCGGTTGCCAGGCGTGGAACAGCTCAAGATTTTTATTACCGAATACTGCCGCACTAACCCTGTCATCTCAGACTATAAATTCTGAATGTCGAATCTGGGGAAACATGGCTTTTGATTTGGTCGCCGGGTGTTTCCAACTGTCATGCTCACATGCAAAGTTGCGGGGGGCCTTCGATGAAAGGATCCGTAATTACAGTCACTTGTCAACTCACTGCGACACGATGGCGCTCTGAGGCAATGGCTTTCTGGAAGGCTTGTTGAGCTCAGCGCGGCCTGGCATAGCCCCGGCATCCATTGCCCAAGTACTGAGACAATGGCCTCCGTCAAGTTCTAATGGCAATGGGGCCCAACCGAGCCCAAGGAAATGTGTGGAGAGACAACGCTGGCAAGAAGCAGAGGCTACTGCCCAGCCACCAGCCAAAAGAGGGCTGCTAAGGCTCACCTGCTTTTTGCGGGAGATCAAGCCCGATCCGGCTGTCAACAAGAGCCCCACTGAGCCGGGAACATGATGCTGAGGTGACTTGGCGACACCAGTACTGCAACAATCGTTATTTCAAAACATGAAATTTGTGCCTCTATCAAATTCTACAGTAGCAAGCTACCGCACTGACAGTGAAAGTGCGGAAAGGGCTTAGGCATGAAATCAGGCCTTTTCGGCGACCAGCCTGTCAGGACTTCAGCAAACACCATTCTGCCATGCATCATGATCTCATTCTGGGTCAGTACAGCACCTTGATGAGCTTCCAACAGCTGAACGGCCGCGTCCAAGAAAGAATCCACGATGGAATTTGTTGCGCTATCAACCTTAAACTCATACATCCTCGCTCGACATAATGCATGCCTCCACAAAAACATTGCTTCAGACCCTCTGCGAGGATGCTGTGCGCATGACAACAAGCTCTGCAAGGATCTCATCATCCCGCAGAAGCTGGCACCTCAAACCGCACATCAAACACATCCTGCATCGCACCATGTTTGCGAGTTTGCCAAACCTCCGCCAAACCACACATAAGGCCTGTCTTGGCAAGCTTGCTCAGGCATGGTAGGATGATTATCTTTTTACTGCCAGTGGTGCATGCGCAAGGTAAGCAGTTCAATGTCACGCATATAAGATGTGCATGAGGCCTACCACAGCCACAACAGATTGCAAGGAGTTTGTGTGGAATCGAACATTTAATCATTTACCTCGGACCTTGGCAAAAACCTGTTCTCCTCATCTATGTGGGTAGTCCAAGCCAAGGCCAAGGGGGCCTAGGCCTAGGCCTTGGGAGTATGGAAGTATGGGGATCAGGTAGGAACTCAGTGGATCCAACACGCCCATCTTTCTAGAAAAGCTAATGACGGTTATGCCTTCAATGATTAATCCTAGCAGTAGGCTTCGGCTAATCGCCAACCCAAGTACATAAGAACGCCTAAATGACATGAACAACAATCTGAAACACCATACCAGCCACAGAAGCAATCGTGTGCCTGGCACTGAGAGCAGAAAATAAGAAGCGGGTTTGGTAAATTGGCGGTTGGGGCGGGCGCGGATAATCCATCTTCCAGAGCGCACACAAACTCAAGAAACAGAACGTTCAACTACGACCTCTTCAAGAATGGAATGATAAGAAAAGTAAAAACAGCGGCAAGAATCAGGACACAAATCCTGGTATGTTAAACAAGTACCCACGACAGGCATGAGTCATTCTCGAACTTGTGAAATTGCGGAAGAAGAATACCAACTACGAGGACAATCGGATCAAATGTCCTTGACTCGCAATTAAACAGAGTTCCGGGTCCCGGTTCCATGGCAGCAAGTTTTTGACAGACTTCCTGCTCTCAGGTTTGCAGCAAGTCATGGTTGCCCCGACGCAACTCACATAAGCCCCATAAGAAGATTTACGTATGCCCTCGCGTACACCATTTCCAAAACGTTGAAACCATCATGTTTTTGCGAACATTTCCGTTCTTCCATTGCTGAACAGCTCTGTGACAAGTTCCGATGGGTGAAAAGGGGTCATCACGAATGATGCTGACTGACGATGACGATGATTCCATCGATTCTGCGAATTTTCACGTTACAATCCCATTCGCACCACGCTTTGCATTGAATCACCCGACATCAGCCCCGTCCAAATTCGCGCTGTATGCAACCGTCCCTGGTCGTCTCACAGAAGACTGTCAAAATGTACCGGGATGATAGTTTGACTTGGTGCTGATCACAGGCTGCACTGAGGGGGTGACCATTGCTCAGGGAAGAATGCCTTGGAAACCAGGAGCAGCGAAATTGGCTGCCAGGGCAACCCTTGCAGGCTGAGTGCTGAGCTTCACAGGCTAATCGGGTGGCCTGTCGCCCGCGGCCTGAACCCGAATGAAATTGGTCCTGAATCTCCAAGGAACCTTGCTGTGTAGCCTGTATCATGCACCAGCGGGAGCTGGATAGGAAAGTTGCGTGCTCGAAGGGCTTCTTTCACCTGGGACTGGCAGGCAAGTCATGTCCAAGCTTCTGACTGTCAACATCTTCTGTCCTGTCCATGATTATGAAAGACTCTTTTGTCCGAGCATGGCGTGTCTCAGTTCCAAGAAAAAGGGCGGGTCTCAAATCCTCCGCCTACACGGGCAATCCAGACTTTTGTATCATTTGCAAATCAGACTACGATCGAATCACAAGGACTAATGCTTGTTTTCGTTGGTAACCTCTGCAATTTCCCGGCCCGTTCCACCACACACCGCCTCGGATTCAGAATTAGACCTCCAAATGCACTCCATGAGCTTCTTCATTCTGCATTCGGCAAAGCAGGTGGAGCCCTGGCGCGGGAGACCTCCTCTCTGAAACACGACGGGCGATCTTGGGTCCGAAGGGCGGCACAGCGGGGAAATGCGGGCCTGGGTGGGCAAAAAAAAACTCTGCGGGACCCTGGCAGAGCATGGTGGCGACCTCACGTCAGACGCATTTTTTGTCAAGGCTCCCTTTTTGGGAAGAGTGGATTCCCCCACCTCACAAGGTAGGAACCCAGGCTTGTGGCTTTAGCCCTGCTGCTTCTCCAATGCAGGCGTCGCTGACATGTCTTTCAGAATCTTAACGAAACGTCGCTTGTGAGCAAACTGATGAAGCAGGGCTGGTGTCCGCCCGCGAGCCTGAAGATTGGAAGTTTGAGCACGTGTCCACCGCTCCCGGATGCGCTTTCCTTGCGCTGTGTCCTGAAGCTGTCAGCCAGCAAAACAGCCAGAAATGTCCTCTGCGCAACCGCCTGGTTGATGCTGGCAACGATATGCTCAAGTAGCCGGTCTTGGGCTGCTTCCACCTGGGCATCATGGCTCACGGCTCATCACTCCATCCGATTGAGTCTGCACTCTTTTGGAAGCGAGCCTGCTCTTTCCCGGGACCTGAAGATCAGCGAGGCACTTGCATACCCTGAATAATGTCGAGTGAGCTGCAGTGCCCGGTGCCTTCCAAATTTGCAAAGCCTTCAACCAAGTCATGTCAAAGCCTTGGCCTGATGCCTTTCCTACCCACTTACGAAACAGAGAATCAACATTACACACTTGCACCTTTCGTGGGCAGCTCATCCAAGAAGCCCTTGAAGGTGTCGCGAACTCCCTAGACAAGAGTATCAATCAACTTTCAAATCTCTAGTCCAAACCATGCAAGGATTGCTCTCTGGACGAACTGCCACGATCCACATAACGCCATTCGCACCTTCCATGCACGACCTCCTCCTCTTGCGGGAGACTTTCGGGCTGCCTAAGCTGAAGAGGGACAAAAAGGCAGCGCAAGGCATGAGGTCTTTAAGGGCCGGCTGCGCACCACCGATTTGTAGATTGCAGAGCAGCTGCTATGAATTCGTCTTCCATTCCACAAATTGCATAGTTCGGGAAAATGCTGCAACAAGACAGTGCTGAGGATCTGGCACTGGATTCAGTCATGACATTGATGCTGGCTTGGTCAGCAAGCTCCTAAACATTGGACCATGGCGCCAGGGTATAGGAAAAACACAACAATACGATTTCATGAGCTGCTGGTGCGTACATTCTCTAGTCACAGGTCACGCAACAGGATCAGTTGAGATGCGTTTAGTTAGGAAGCAGCTCACCGGATGATTTCGCAACAGTCCTCTTCGAGGGCTCTCAGCAAGTCATACTGAGGTCATGGGCCTGAACGAACAGACGCGGACGCTCCATCTCTGGAGGTGAGGAGTTCCGTGGACAAAGGCTGGCGCAAGACATGCATGCTTAAGAGCTCAAGCTTTCTGGCTATGCCGATTTCTAAACGAAAAGCATCCAGTGTCCGCCCGCAACAGATATGATGCCTTAGGTCACCGGCAGCATTGAGCACAGCAGCTCCCATTTGCTCGCCTTTACTATACTTGAGCCAAGTCCAGACACGAAATCCGCTCGCTGTTTTGGGCAAATGCGCGCTCCCATGAAGGGAGGCCACCATGCGAATGCTGTTCTCAGGAACCCTCGTGCAACTCAATTCCCAAAAAAATCGTAAAAGGACGCTGCCGCACTTTTCCTCTACTTGAATACCCTCTAACTGCTAGAACTGCTGGAGTAAGCCCATCAGTAAATGGCAAGAAAAGCACACTATTCACTCAGCATTCGAACACAAGTTGCTGGAAGGCACATGCTCCAAACATCAGCACGGACTCAATATTGCAGATCAATGACAGAAACCGCTGCGCCCAAGTGTGACAAGCAAACAGGATGCTTTTAATCGCCATTTCTCATCATGTTTTCACTGCGACCGCAGGCCGGGGTAGAGGAACACATTGCCAAGATTGCCAAGCAGATGCACACCCAGGTGCCACGGAGTGCTGATGTTGTACTCCTTGCGGGCAGCATGATGGCGGGCCCGCATGTACATCGCCACGAACAAGAAGGTCAACAGCGAATAGCCTGCCAAAAAACAGGCTGACCCATCTCTCCAATGCTGCAACGAATAGCCACTGCCTGCAGGACCAGGGCCAGGGACAAGCGGCCCCTTTCCTCGCAAATTCCACACTGAAACTTGTATGTGCAAGCACTTGGCGCTTCTTGTGAGTGCAAGTGAGGCGCCCATTAATGGTCGAAGAGGAGAGCTCAGCAATGATGCCCAGTGGGCATTGAGACCACCACCAGTTACACCCAAAGCGACGCACATGTGGTATCTAAGTTCACGTGGAGAAATGCGCCGAAAACGGCCGCTTACGCAAACAAACTCAGCAATTTGAAGCCGTAAGCAACAAGTTCTCACAAGCTGAGGCGCATGACAGTTGCGGCAACAGCTGCCATATCCAAATACCGTCGCATGCCAAATGTTGGGTCACGCCAGTAATTCAGACCAGCTATGAGGACGAGTGCTGCAAGGCTGCAACAACCCCACCGCCTGTGGACACACCACTGAACAATGCGGGATATCGCAACATGAAATGCCAGATCAAAATCAATGTCTCTTCCAAGAATTTGCCTGTGGATGGCAGCTCCCACTGTCATAACAGAGAACTGCCCACAGGAATAGAATAACCATCCTGACATGCAGTTGGGGATCCCCATGTCTTCAAACATACGTGAAGTGTTTGGGCAGACCCCTTACAATGCTTTATCGCAGTGCCAGGCGCTTGAATATGGCAATGGGACAACCCGCTCTATATTGGCAGCTCGAACAGGTGAGCCCGCGGACCGTCCCTTCGCAATCCTGAGCATCTCGTTAAGCACACAGCTAGACTATGGGTCATGGCAGTCCTGACAAAAGAAAAATGCTGCAAAGGGCAAGTCACAGACGCAAATGGCACTTTGGCATTGCTGCCATTGGCTTTGCAAGCTGCAGGCCCGCGCTTGGCGCGGAAATGCCAATCCCGCTTGCCATGCACGGCATGCCCTTAGCATTGTGAACCTGAACCATGTCACCGATGAGTTGACTGCCAAACCTAGTGGACATGGCATGTATCATCATGGCACATATCATCATATGTCGTGGTTGTTTTTATTCATGTAGCCACGGTTTGGCAGAACCACGTTGAACAATGCTGCAATTCACACATGCCATGCATTCATTGGTGTGGAACATGTCAAAATAACTTGTTTGGTGAGTGGATTGTGTTGTGAATCCTCTTCTTGAAGAAATTACGTACATGTTCCGACTTAAATTTGATGATTTGATGTTTGTCAATGGACTTTCGGATCTAAAGATTTTGGTGTGGGGATTGTGGATCAAAATGAAGACTACCGATTTTCCCTGCAGACTATACTGCCACGCTTCACGGATGTCACACGCCATTGAATCTCCTAAGAATTTTCGTGGCCTGATGTGCACACAGGTGGCGAACTTTGCGGCTTCGATGTTTCAGAAAAGTTCCCAAAATGGCACGGATCTTTTGCATCTCAATACATCTGAAGTGACGCTCTTGATCCGTTGATTTGGATCCCCTGTTGCTGTTACCATGTGCTTTTTAATGAGTTTCAAACTGTGCCACAAGTGTGTAGCCACTGTTCATGTCACAAAACCTCCCAATAGTGCGAATGTTGGTTGCGGCTTTCCAACAAAGCTTGGCATTGTACAGCGTGTTAGCGGGTGAACTCAAGCCTTGTAAACTTTCCGACATCACCATCAACCCTTTTTTCTGTGCGAATTTGCAGTTCTTGGGAATCCCAATTTTGTTTCCCAGGCGCCGGCTCCTTAGAATGTGGAAGTAATTGGATCTGGGTATTCCATACTGCAAGAAGTTGAACGTCCATGGCCTGCCATACACTGGCCGCGGTTGGCTTGACCACATTTCATGAACAGGCAATTTTGCCACCATGAAATTTTACCCAGTATTGTCATTTTTTGGCTGGTTTGGCCCGGCCTGGACACATTTTGTTTTCACAGGAGTTCCTTTCCTGAATTTGGAATTCCGGAACACATGTGTGGGCTGAGACTGGCACCCCATGTGTTTTACCCTTCCATCTTGGGTTTGGATGCTTAGGTCACCACAACAGCAAAAGTCGCGACTGGAAAACACGTTTGCTTTGTCTCGGGCCCTCAAAAACCTGTCTGGGCTGGTTCTGTGGGCTTGCACTGCTCCTAGGTTCAAGCTAGCCACCAACAACAGCTGCAAGGGTTCACACCTTTTCTCTGGGTTGCTCTGAGTGCGTTGCAGAAAGGAGGGCTTGAAAAAGGGCTGCGGGCTCAAGCCCGGGCATCCTTTCTTTCCACCCCCCCCTTTAATGGCCAGAAAGATCTGGGCTGAACGTGAAGTCCAGGCTTTGTGAGACTTAGTGAAAAACCACACTCAGCGTGTGTGGGCTAAGCTGAGGTGGTTAGGCTTTGGGCTCTGCTAGGACGCTGTCCTGAGAGCGCGGCCCAGGCGAGGGCTGATGCAGGCCATCTGGCCTTGTAGCAGGCGAGCTACTAATTTCTTGCGTGGCGACGCGTTCAGCTAAGGCTGAGACGGTGGGAAAAGGCGTTTTTCCTCGGTCCCTGTTAGGCAGCTGACAGGACTTGAGAAGGCTAAAAGGCTGAAGGCTGGTGAAACGAGACTGAGGCTCGTCGCGAGTCAACCTGGGCGTCAAGGCTTGAGGGTTAAGTACACCAAGGGTTGGGAGGGCGGGCTAAAAACTTTACAAGTAGAGAGCGTTCTACTTAGGCTGTTTAAGTAGAGCTAGTCTTGACCTAGGAGCATACG